TGCTTAGGCGTCCCTGTAACATTCAAATTCAAATGACGCTCACAGAAACTCGTCCACTGCAGTTGCGACGTCGCGGCCACGACCAGTAGCGCGGGGATCCGGACGATTCTGTTGACATACACCCGGAGATACAAGGCAATAAGGCAAGAAAATGCGGCTGTTTGATATAATGCGCTCTAGGGAGTGAAAGCCAAACGATAAGTATGAAGGGATCATTCCAAACTCACTGCCGTTATCATACTTTCCAAGTCTGCAGTGATGGGCGTGCCCGAGTTAAGGGGTGTTGAAGAGTTTGTCTTCGACGTCTCACCAATCCGCTGGTAACGCGTCTCTGCTGCGAAAACGCCACCTATCGTTCTTTCGAGTAGATCTCTTTCCCATTCCTTTTGCCTCTTCCCCATTTGTGCACACTGTACTTATCGCGACTGCTGCCCTTGAGGCATCATGTTGCACTGTGTCGATTTTTGGCTACCAATAGCACAAAGATGCTTCAACACAATGTACCATATGCGTATCACCGGGATTCGGAGGGTCGAATAGAAAGCCTCGATGTTTCAGCGTTAGGTCGCAAATCTAACTTACAGGAGGGAGAATCCTCCGAAATTAAAGCCGCAGCAGTGTCGACAGCATATGCTGCTGACACGCCCACTCGTCCGTGATTGGCTACCACCACACGGGTTACTGTGTGCAGACGCGAGCCAGCCAATCATAGACTAGTAGGCGTGCCAGCAACATACAGGGGGGCCAAAAAAAGAGTCACTTCTCTCCACATTCAAAACGCAATTAATCTACGAACTGCGAAACCAAATCAAATGAGCCCAACTGCATATTAAAGAGCACATTCTATCTATCAAAAGTTACATGACAGCCTTCTACACCGACGACATCAGAAGATTTTCCCACGGAAACATGGTTCACGGTACGAGCTCAACGAGGTCGTCGAGGTACCATTACGACGTCCCTGAAACGCTGGTCAAAAGCGGTCTTGCACAGTCACAGCTAATGTCTCTGGAAGCTATTCACCAGTTAATCCATTGAAGAAATTATGTAGCAGCTTCAGGCCGGAGCGATTACGGTAAGCCTCGTTGAGCTCGACGGTGACGGCAGATGACGTCATATTCTGAAGACGGCGGGGGCAGTGAAGGAGGGCTGCTTCTGCTTATGGGGGGGAACACCTAAGGAATATTCTGCCGTAAAACATTCATTAGCTGCGGCATTCTGTGCGAAGAAAAATTTGATGATGTGCGCCATAGGCAAAGTGACTCTTTTTTTTTTTGCCCCCCCCCCCCTGTATACTGTCGACACTGCTGCGGCCTGTAACTCGTAGAATTTTCCTGCAAGTTTATTAGAGTATATATTACAAAATTTTCGTCGACCTACAATAGCTAGATATTCCCGTGTTGACGAACCTTTGGCGAGTCACACATGTAGTCTCCAAAGGGACCCAAGCGATCCTCTGTGGCATTAGTGGTGTTATGGCACATGTTCTCATTGTCTCCAAACACAGAATAGTCGACGTCCAAGTGGAAATCCGCCAAATGAAGAATATTGAATGCGGTGGTACCTGCGACCAGAGCGAAGACGAACAGCATTTGGTCGCGCCGACTGTCCTCTGACTTAAAAAAAACATTTTTTAAAGGCGTGAAAGATAACGAATGCAATCTATGACAAAATATACCAGTAAAAATCAAATAGCGCCACATTATTGTGGAAACAATGCTGAGGAAAGTTTTCCACCGATAAAGTGATTAAATGAAGAAGAAATCAATAATTTTGACGGTACAATCCGATTAATAAAATTTAGGGGCGCAGGGAAGATGGCGGGAGAAAGTGGCACCGTTCACCTTGGGTATGGTTCAAAGATCGATCTTCGAATCAAAACCCGCCCAGGCCAAACACGCCTTTCGCCCCGCGGGGTCGGCTAATTCGTGCAAGGCTTGACTGAGGACAAAAGTCGACGTTCTACACCGCGTGGCATCGTAGGTGGAATATTACTCCAGTTTTTTCTGAAAGCATTAGATGACCAAAGCAGAGAGAAGAAAATCACTCGTGTAAGGAACACCTTTAGGTTCAGCCACACCCTTTTCTCTTGCCAATCGAATGGCGCTCTTTGGAACATTATCTACACAATTCCACTTCTCAAATTACCACTTTGCTTCGCTGGCAGAAAATATTACTCTGAGTGGGTAAATAAAGCGCGACACTGCATTGTGTAGCCTGATCGTTTACTGGGGCACTCGTTTTCTCAACTCGATCTAGAATTTTCAAGAAAATAACTACATTATCAAGTTGTTTGCGAAAGAAGTTGTGGCTATACTAGTAAAAGGACAACGGACGCATCATGAACTAGAACTTAAAGGCATCGTGCATGAAAATCGTGTGACTTCAAACCTATCAAAATCGCTACCTCATTCCTGTGTTCGCAGGAATAACAGAAAGAATGAAAAATTATCAGGCGTGAACGAGTTCCTCGTACCTTCACAAAACCTTGCACGTGGCCGCACCTGCCTTAACCCTTCGACTACTGGTGGTACACATGTGTACCACTTTCGTAGTCAAAGACACTACCACAGTTTTGGGGTTATTGAGGTAGGAGCGCTCGCTTGACGGCGGAATTGTGCACAAATAGAAACTCTATAATTCTTACTATAACAGTCACTCGTCACAAGTCAAAAAAGTAACCCCAGACAAGTTAATGAAACATGTCGCACCGCAGGTGACTCGTCAATGTGCCCAAAAAGGTGATTTTCACTCACACATCCTTTTAGTACATATTTGGGCTAATTGTTTGGTATTTCCCTGAACTACTGTAT